GCTAGCTGGTCATGTGACTGGGTGGGCGTGGCTAGCTGGTCATGTGACCGGGTGGCCATGGCTATGTGTATAGGGTAAGGTGAACAGATTTTAACATTGGTAAGAAGGACACCATTGTGGGCGTGGCTTATTGTGTGGGCATGGCTTAGAGGCCATGTGACTGGGTGGGCGTGGCTAGCTGGTCATGTGACTGGGTGGCCATGGCTATGTGTATAGGGACTACTCAGAGGGCTGAAAAGTCATTTCTGACAGGTCCTCACACTTTTGACTGGTCCTCACACTATGACCATCCTCACATTTATGCCCGTGCAGCATTCTTAACAACCATGTCACTCATTTCACAACTGCTTCTCTTCACCATGGTGACAAGATAGGGCAAAAACGTAAAATGTGAGGACAGTCATAAGTTCGAGGACTGGTCAAAAGTGCGAGGACCAGTCAAAAATAACTTTTTCAGCCCTCTGAGTAGTCCATATGCACAAAAGGACTAACCAGAGGGCTGAAAAAAGTCATTTCTGACAGGTCCTCACACTTTTGACTGGTCCTCACACTTATGACCATCCTCACATTTATGCCCGTGCAGCATTCTTAACAACCATGTCACTCATTTCACAACTGCTTCTCTTCACCATGATGACAAGATAGGGCAAAAATGTAAAATGTGAGGACAGTCGTAAGTTCGAGGACTGGTCAAAAGTGCGAGGACCAGTCAAAAATAACTTTTTCAGCCCTCTGAGTAGTCCATATGCATTAAAGGATACAGCAATAGAGAGGGATGAAGGAATGGAAATTAGAGTAGGAGTGAGGGTAAGAGAGGGAGGAAGAGAGGAGGAGAAGGAGAAAGGAAGAGGAAGTAGGGAGGAGAAAAAGAGGGTGGGGGGAAGAGAAAGTAAGAAGGAAAGAAAAGAGAGAGGTGGTAGGTTTGAGGAGAAAGATTGCTGTACAATAAAAAAGATGAAAGGGAAGAAAGCCAACCCCAAGCAAATATAAAGATATTAAGATAAAGAATGAATTGTTAAACTTTAAAGAATAAAAGAGAACAAATATGAATAAATAGCAATAATTAGAAACACATATACAAACATACAATGTATTTTCTTTGAACAGAATATTTGGCTGGTTCACAAATTTAAACAGTGTTTAGTCATTTCAATTAAATTTACAATTTCTATATTTCCTTTTTGCCATATTTATTCATCTATTTTTTTAAAAAAACAATATTACCCTTCATCCTCATCTCTAATCTTAATCAAATTCAATTTTTCCCTTCTATTCTATATTATACCCCTTCCCATTGTCATCTATTTTTATATCCATCCTCACATTGTTTAATTATGTAATTATGTAATACAGTTGTTTAATACAAATTCAACATTTTAATATAAATCAATTAGTTATAAAACTATCTTTTTGTATATTAATCAATATGAACATGAATATTCCAATTATTTCCATGCAATCCAATTTCTTACAAATCAATTAATTATATTTACCAATAATAATAAACCAAATAATTTCTCCCATATATTCCTCTGAACCACAACTTAACCATTTCTGCTTTCAACACAATATACAATTAATAGTATCTCAATTATTACAATTCCCTAGTTAAATACAGCTTTTTTTTCTTTTGTGTTTTAAAATCTTGAACTCTCCTCCTAAATTTCCCATTGTTTGCAGTTTTTCACCTACCTTTTTTGGGGAGGAAAAATAAAAATAAAAATAAATCTCTCTGCCTCATTTTGTCACGTTGCACCAAAGATCCTGGTTTCGGTTTCGTTTCTGCAGCTTAGCTAGGGGAAAAAAAAACTGCTTCAGGAACTCTTTACACTCATTGCCTGTAGGGCGGCCCTTTGAAGTCCCGGGCAAGAGTTTAAACAGTTTTTTTTCTTCTAGCCATCAGCTGGGGCTCAAGAGGCAGCGGACTGAGGAGGCAGAATGAAAAATCGGGACTTTTTTGAAACGCCGTGGGACGCGGGACAAATTGCTAAAAATCGGGACTGTCCCGCCAAAAGCGGGACGTCTGGTCACCTTAGTTTATGTACAACAAACACCCAGATTGATAGGTAATTATATGGGTAGGAAGCATCCATCCTGGGAAAGCCAAGGTGAGCTAAGGGTCAGGTTTGGGCCAACTTAATTGCAGCATGAAAAGAATGTTGGACTCAAAGATGCCATTGATATACAGTACATATCATTTCTTACATTCAGTTCCTTTTTTTTTCTCCTGTATTTTGGATCACTGTAAAGGATGTGCTTCAAAAATTTTAGCAAGGGGTTCTCTGGCTGGTTGCTGGGTGGACATGGCCACAGTGGGCGTGGCCTAGTCTGCCTCCTGTACCATAGCAGGGGGGTGTTTTTGCCCTCCCCGGGCTCCGGAGCCTTTCCTCGAGCCTCCGGGAGGGCAAAAATGGCCTCCCCAGGTTCTGGAGGCTCTCTGGAGGCCGGAAATGGCCCCATTTCTGGCCTTCCCGAACTTCCAGTAGGCCCATTTTTCACTGTCCCCAAGCCTTCACTTACCAGCATCAAAAAAGGGGCCACGTGGGGACTCCTGGGAGGGGCGGGGTGGGCAGAACCAGCCAGGAGTAGGATTTGGGGGTTCTCTGAACTGCACAGAATTTTAGCTAGAGGTTCTCCCAAACCCCTGCAAACCCCCAGCAGCCCACCCCCTGATCATTGTTTCTGAACCTTCAGCATGGCAGCTCACAGTTCACCTGCAAGCCACAAACTTACCTACTGCGCACTTACATTCTCTTTCTTCAACTCCTCAGATGAGGCAAGCTATATCATGCTTCCCTGTCAGCCAGTCTGATGAAAAACAGGCATCTCAGGATTATTTAATATGAGCTTCAGTCAGACGCTTCAGTCAGATTAGTTTATTTTGTCTCTTGCAACAGAGAGAAAAAAGCAATAAAAAAGATAAGAGTTAACTGACAATAAAAAGCAGTTTAATTCATAAAATATATCCACCTCTTTAAAGTAAAGGTAAAGGTTCCTCTCGCACATATGTGCTAGTCGTTCCCGACTCTAGGGGGTGGTGCTCATCTCCGTTTCAAAGCTGAAGAGCCAACACTGACTGAAGATGTCTCCATGGTCATGTGGCCAGCATGACTAAATGCCAAAGGGGCACAGAACGCTGTTACCTTCCCACCAAAGGTGGTCCCTATTTTTCTACTTGCATTTTTTACATGCTTTCGAATTGCTAGGTTGGCAGAAACGTTCACCTCTTTAGGCATAGACTTTTTTGTATGAAGCAGCTTTAAAGAATTGGCCCAATCCCTCCAAAATTAGAGTGCCAAATTCCTGAAACTTTCATATATTAAAAACATACCTTTGTATTTGTTTATGTGTATATGCATACTGAAAGTTCAATTTCACTTTTTAAAATTCATTTTTGAGAGGTAAAAATGCCATATAGTTACCATATTGCCGGAAGGAATACAAGGTTTTATTAGACAGACAGACAGACAGACAGATAGACAGAGATAGATAGATAGATAGATAGATAGATAGGTAGGTAGGTAGGTAGGTAGGTAGGTAGGTAGATAGATAGATAGATAGATAGATAGATAGATAGATAGATAGATAGATAGATAGATAGATAGATAGACAGACAGATAGATAGATAGATAGATATGTGTTAAAACTGTTTAAGTTTTAATATTAATCTAAGCCAGGATATTTGCTTGTTTTAAAGGCTTATCAAAATGTAAAATAATTGTGTAGTTGCAACAATAAACATATTGCAGAGTCAAATCAAAACCAGCTTACGTTTTGTAGCCCAAGTAATTCTCTTTCATAGATATGGGTTCTGAATTCTTGATGCAGTAGAACTGCCTCTTTATCTGTATATACACTCCTTGGGGAAAATAATAACTCCTTATTGGTGTGATTATGAAGCCTGAAGGATATCCAAAACATTTTAAGAGATAAAATTATAATTGACAATTTCACCTTGTGTGCTAGTGCATATGCATATCTGCTTACTTATGGATAAATTCAGTTTGGAGACTTTTTCTCCCATCTACTTACTTAATTTTCCTTATGATTTAGTCATTATTCTAATAAATGACTGACTCAGTTTTACAGATGAGTTGAAAAATTCATGATGAGGATTTAACATTTTTAATCAGTTGGCTGACTTCCTGAAATATTCTAAACTTTGAACACCAGCCAACATACAGAATACAAACATCACAGTTTCCATGGAAATGCAGATCACCTTGGAGATGATTAATACCATGATGTCTCTACAGTTTGCATCAGGTTGGTAAAAGTTGAATCATGCTTCAATACCTTATAACTTAATAGCTTGATGGAAGGATTACTACAGGATACACTATAGAAACAAACCAAACCTAAGTTTCCTAATTTTTATTTTATTTTTATTTTTAGAGAAAGTATACTAGCTGGAATGTACAAGCTTGACTGGAGAAGAGGTGTGGATGAAGCTTGCCAGCCAGGAGGTATATCTGTCATATTTAGCCATTTGGCTAACCCCGTGCAGCATTCTTAACAACCATGTCACTCATTTCACAACTGCTTCTCTTCACCATGATGACAAGATAGGGCAAAAATGTAAAATGTGAGGACAGTCGTAAGTTCGAGGACTGGTCAAAAGTGCGAGGACCAGTCAAAAATAACTTTTTCAGCCCTCTGAGTAGTCCATATGCATTAAAGGATACAGCAATAGAGAGGGATGAAGGAATGGAAATTAGAGTAGGAGTGAGGGTAAGAGAGGGAGGAAGAGAGGAGGAGAAGGAGAAAGGAAGAGGAAGTAGGGAGGAGAAAAAGAGGGTGGGGGGAAGAGAAAGTAAGAAGGAAAGAAAAGAGAGAGGTGGTAGGTTTGAGGAGAAAGATTGCTGTACAATAAAAAAGATGAAAGGGAAGAAAGCCAACCCCAAGCAAATATAAAGATATTAAGATAAAGAATGAATTGTTAAACTTTAAAGAATAAAAGAGAACAAATATGAATAAATAGCAATAATTAGAAACACATATACAAACATACAATGTATTTTCTTTGAACAGAATATTTGGCTGGTTCACAAATTTAAACAGTGTTTAGTCATTTCAATTAAATTTACAATTTCTATATTTCCTTTTTGCCATATTTATTCATCTATTTTTTTAAAAAAACAATATTACCCTTCATCCTCATCTCTAATCTTAATCAAATTCAATTTTTCCCTTCTATTCTATATTATACCCCTTCCCATTGTCATCTATTTTTATATCCATCCTCACATTGTTTAATTATGTAATTATGTAATACAGTTGTTTAATACAAATTCAACATTTTAATATAAATCAATTAGTTATAAAACTATCTTTTTGTATATTAATCAATATGAACATGAATATTCCAATTATTTCCATGCAATCCAATTTCTTACAAATCAATTAATTATATTTACCAATAATAATAAACCAAATAATTTCTCCCATATATTCCTCTGAACCACAACTTAACCATTTCTGCTTTCAACACAATATACAATTAATAGTATCTCAATTATTACAATTCCCTAGTTAAATACAGCTTTTTTTTCTTTTGTGTTTTAAAATCTTGAACTCTCCTCCTAAATTTCCCATTGTTTGCAGTTTTTCACCTACCTTTTTTGGGGAGGAAAAATAAAAATAAAAATAAATCTCTCTGCCTCATTTTGTCACGTTGCACCAAAGATCCTGGTTTCGGTTTCGTTTCTGCAGCTTAGCTAGGGGAAAAAAAAACTGCTTCAGGAACTCTTTACACTCATTGCCTGTAGGGCGGCCCTTTGAAGTCCCGGGCAAGAGTTTAAACAGTTTTTTTTTCTTCTAGCCATCAGCTGGGGCTCAAGAGGCAGCGGGACTGAGGAGGCAGAATGAAAAATCGGGACTTTTTTGAAACGCCGTGGGACGCGGGACAAATTGCTAAAAATCGGGACTGTCCCGCCAAAAGCGGGACGTCTGGTCACCTTAGTTTATGTACAACAAACACCCAGATTGATAGGTAATTATATGGGTAGGAAGCATCCATCCTGGGAAAGCCAAGGTGAGCTAAGGGTCAGGTTTGGGCCAACTTAATTGCAGCATGAAAAGAATGTTGGACTCAAAGATGCCATTGATATACAGTACATATCATTTCTTACATTCAGTTCCTTTTTTTTTCTCCTGTATTTTGGATCACTGTAAAGGATGTGCTTCAAAAATTTTAGCAAGGGGTTCTCTGGCTGGTTGCTGGGTGGACATGGCCACAGTGGGCGTGGCCTAGTCTGCCTCCTGTACCATAGCAGGGGGGTGTTTTTGCCCTCCCCGGGCTCCGGAGCCTTTCCTCGAGCCTCCGGGAGGGCAAAAATGGCCTCCCCAGGTTCTGGAGGCTCTCTGGAGGCCGGAAATGGCCCCATTTCTGGCCTTCCCGAACTTCCAGTAGGCCCATTTTTCACTGTCCCCAAGCCTTCACTTACCAGCATCAAAAAAGGGGCCACGTGGGGACTCCTGGGAGGGGCGGGGTGGGCAGAACCAGCCAGGAGTAGGATTTGGGGGTTCTCTGAACTGCACAGAATTTTAGCTAGAGGTTCTCCCAAACCCCTGCAAACCCCCAGCAGCCCACCCCCCTGATCATTGTTTCTGAACCTTCAGCATGGCAGCTCACAGTTCACCTGCAAGCCACAAACTTACCTACTGCGCACTTACATTCTCTTTCTTCAACTCCTCAGATGAGGCAAGCTATATCATGCTTCCCTGTCAGCCAGTCTGATGAAAAACAGGCATCTCAGGATTATTTAATATGAGCTTCAGTCAGACGCTTCAGTCAGATTAGTTTATTTTGTCTCTTGCAACAGAGAGAAAAAAAGCAATAAAAAAGATAAGAGTTAACTGACAATAAAAAGCAGTTTAATTCATAAAATATATCCACCTCTTTAAAGTAAAGGTAAAGGTTCCTCTCGCACATATGTGCTAGTCGTTCCCGACTCTAGGGGGTGGTGCTCATCTCCGTTTCAAAGCTGAAGAGCCAACACTGACTGAAGATGTCTCCATGGTCATGTGGCCAGCATGACTAAATGCCAAAGGGGCACAGAACGCTGTTACCTTCCCACCAAAGGTGGTCCCTATTTTTCTACTTGCATTTTTTACATGCTTTCGAATTGCTAGGTTGGCAGAAACGTTCACCTCTTTAGGCATAGACTTTTTTGTATGAAGCAGCTTTAAAGAATTGGCCCAATCCCTCCAAAATTAGAGTGCCAAATTCCTGAAACTTTCATATATTAAAAACATACCTTTGTATTTGTTTATGTGTATATGCATACTGAAAGTTCAATTTCACTTTTTAAAATTCATTTTTGAGAGGTAAAAATGCCATATAGTTACCATATTGCCGGAAGGAATACAAGGTTTTATTAGACAGACAGACAGACAGACAGATAGACAGAGATAGATAGATAGATAGATAGATAGATAGGTAGGTAGGTAGGTAGGTAGGTAGGTAGGTAGATAGATAGATAGATAGATAGATAGATAGATAGATAGATAGATAGATAGATAGATAGATAGATAGACAGACAGATAGATAGATAGATAGATATGTGTTAAAACTGTTTAAGTTTTAATATTAATCTAAGCCAGGATATTTGCTTGTTTTAAAGGCTTATCAAAATGTAAAATAATTGTGTAGTTGCAACAATAAACATATTGCAGAGTCAAATCAAAACCAGCTTACGTTTTGTAGCCCAAGTAATTCTCTTTCATAGATATGGGTTCTGAATTCTTGATGCAGTAGAACTGCCTCTTTATCTGTATATACACTCCTTGGGGGAAAATAATAACTCCTTATTGGTGTGATTATGAAGCCTGAAGGATATCCAAAACATTTTAAGAGATAAAATTATAATTGACAATTTCACCTTGTGTGCTAGTGCATATGCATATCTGCTTACTTATGGATAAATTCAGTTTGGAGACTTTTTCTCCCATCTACTTACTTAATTTTCCTTATGATTTAGTCATTATTCTAATAAATGACTGACTCAGTTTTACAGATGAGTTGAAAAATTCATGATGAGGATTTAACATTTTTAATCAGTTGGCTGACTTCCTGAAATATTCTAAACTTTGAACACCAGCCAACATACAGAATACAAACATCACAGTTTCCATGGAAATGCAGATCACCTTGGAGATGATTAATACCATGATGTCTCTACAGTTTGCATCAGGTTGGTAAAAGTTGAATCATGCTTCAATACCTTATAACTTAATAGCTTGATGGAAGGATTACTACAGGATACACTATAGAAACAAACCAAACCTAAGTTTCCTAATTTTTATTTTATTTTTATTTTTAGAGAAAGTATACTAGCTGGAATGTACAAGCTTGACTGGAGAAGAGGTGTGGATGAAGCTTGCCAGCCAGGAGGTATATCTGTCATATTTAGCCATTTGGCTAACAGCAGCATCCACCGTGGAGTAAAGTGTGACAAATGACAGCAAGTATTTTATAACATCATCGCATAAATGCCATGAATTACATACTTGTGTCAGACATCATGTTACAAATATGTAAGTGTTGCGTTGTCATGATGTCATCATGTGCAGGTCATTTTCATGTCACCGTAGTGTTTTTACAGACAATTCAGAATAACAGAGTTGGAAGAGACCTTGAAGGACTTCTACTCCAACCCCCTGCCCAAGCAGGAAACCCTATACCCGTGATGGCAAACCTATGGCACGCGTGCCACAGGTGGCACGTGGAGCCCACTCTGCTGGCATGCGAGCCGTCGCACAGCTCAGCTCCACCGTGCATGTGTGCACGCCTCCCGGTGGCCAGCTGATTTTTGGGTCTCTGGCGTGGGGGCGTGACGCATGTGCGGGGGGGCACGTGTGCATGAGCGGGGGGTGGGGGACCACGGGGGGAAGCAGAGCACCCCCCCAGCCTGTTTTTGGTCTCAGGAGGCTTCGGGGGCCTGCCAGGCACAAAACGGGCTGGGGGGGGTTGCATGGAGGAGGGTGTTGTGTGCACATGCATGGGGGGTGGGGGAGCGTGGGGGGTCACACGTGGATGCACAAGGGAGGGGGAATGTGGGGGAGATGCGCAAATGCATGGAGGGCAGGGCATGTGGGGGGGCATTGCATTATGAGTGTGGGCACATGTGTGCATGACCCTCCCCATGCTCCCCCCACTTTTGGCACATGATAGCAAAAAGGTTAGCCATCACTGCCCTATACCATTCCAGACAAGGGGCTGTTCAGTCTCTTCTTAAAAACCTCCAGTGATGGAGCACCCACAATTTTTGAAGGCAAGCTGTTCCACTGATTACTTGTTCTCACTACCAGGAAATTTCTCCTTAGTTTTAAGTTGGTTCTTTCCTTTTTAAATTCTATTTATTAACTTTAAGTTTATTAATTTTACTAATTTTACTAATTTAGTAACACACTGGTACAAAGTAGGCAGATTCAACTAAGTTTTTTAAAAAATTGTTTTATTACAATTAAATGCTGCCAGTGGTGGAATTCAGCCAGTTCGCACCAATTTGGGAGAGCCGGTTGTTAACTTTCTGAACAGTTTGGTGAACTGGTTGTTAGAAGAAATCATTAGGGCAGAGAACCAGTTGTTAAATTATTTGAATCCCACCACTGGATGCTACTGCCTTGTCTAAGAATGCACTGCTCTGCCAACAATGTTTAACCATCAAGAGCAATTGGGGTACCATTTTATTTACCAATCAATAGTGTTTAGCAATAGTTAGATGTACTGGAAAATATGTACTCGCTACCCATGACTGGGTTTTCCACAGCTCATACTTCAATCCTTGGCGCCTTTCCTCCACTATCTCTAAGTACGTTTCCACAGAAAGTTTTATTTCAGGTTGCCTAATACAAACCCAATTCTTTCAAGACAACTCCTGTTGTTCTTTTAACATTCTTAAATCCCAGCAAATCCAATTTATAAGTATGAAATCCTACAGACATCCTGCTCATTAATATTGAGAGGTGCTACTGGCCTTTGATGTTCTGACGAAGAAATAAAATATACAAGAAAGCAATGACAGGGAGAGCCTGCAAGCGACATCTGAAATGTAATGTGGTGTGCAACAAACAACCCATTTACGAGAGCAGAGGTTTTGCCTCAGAATTCAAGGATGTTGTTCCTGATAGCATAGCTGGCTTTCTTCTCTTGGATGAAATAACGGCAAAGTATCCCCATGCTGAGCTTCTTCTACACTCAGCAAAGTACCCTTCGGCTCTTTTCCAGCAGTTCTTCCATAATCAGGTAACTTTCATTTTTCCAGTCAAAAGGAGATAACAATGGTTCTGTCAGAGTGAAACACAGGTATATTCAGACATCAGATTGAAATCAGCTCTTTCAATCAATCAATAATACTCTGAGGATATAGAACTTGCATTGGTCATGATGGTTTACTTAGGCTATTACCATCTCACTTCTGTACTATTGGTGTACAACTAGTGGGACATTCATACATGCCGGTGGTGAGTTTCACTTACCTTTGCTACCAGTTCGCATGCGCAGAGTGTATTTGATGATGTCCAGGTGGGTGGGCGGAGCCTCCCACCACTGCTGCTACTGGTTAGCTCGAATTGGGGTGAACCGGTAGCAACCCACCACTGATACATGCTGTTTAAAAGCTAATATCATTACCATGTCAATATCCAGCTTGAGAATTCAAATGAAACTCCAAGATCATTTTCATTTCAGAATATCTTACTGTTTATTGAATATACTGCATGGTAATGTCGAGGCAAAACTAACTCTCAGGTTCCAAAACACCAGTTCTTAGAATTAAACAATTTCCCCAACCAAACCCCCAGGCTCTCACGTAGTCCATGTAGATAAATTCTGTTTGTTATTGGAACCTTCTGCTTCAAACTCCACACCTGTTAGGATGTCCTTGAAAAGTTTCCAGGTTCTCACAGTCTTCAGCAGAATTGAAGTTTCGTTTTTCCATCTAACCCATTCGAAAGCAACACCTCCGCTCCCTTACTCTAATGGAAAGTTGAAATGCAGAGCCACGTAGCTGTCAAAGTTTCATCCTTAACATCTAGCCATTGTCTATCCATTGCAGGATGAAGGCCGCCTTCACATGTTTCGAAACAAACCCAACTGGCAAAAGAAAGCTCAGGACCGCATTGGTTGGAAAAGCTAATATGAGAAAGATAAAATATCAGAGTTGGGAAATATTTTCTGATCTTGGGCACCTATTCCATAAGGGTCTCCTGAGATTTTAATGTTTTCACACAGATCACAGCATTCTCACAGGAATTTGTCTATCCATCTTTTTAAAAAAATATTTTCTTTTAAATCAATACTGTGGCTCTAGCTGCCAGGCATGGGAAGAAGGAAGTCTCCACTGCATGGTCAAAAGATATATAAACTATGCTAAGCCATGGAAGGTACAAATAAACACTAAATCTGGGCACAGAAATGTTACATGATTGTTTTACAATAAAATGTAGGATTGCTATTATAAATAAAATAAATGAGAGTAGTTTGTGCAACTGACCCAAGATTGAAATCAGGTTTCCAGATTTTGGAGGCAAGTCAGCTAGCATTTCTGGGTCACCTTCAAGAGCATAAAGTTTACTTTAAATAGTTTAAATTAGAAGGAGAGCGTGTGCAACTGCAGTCATATCTGTTTTGGATTTTTTAACCAATTGATATTTTAGCCATTCCAGCAGATTAATGTAATTATTTGTGTTTATATTCTGTTGCTTATCTTTTCCTCATAATATCTTGTACAAAATAACATTCTAGCACTCTCTGAAGATCTCTGCAAAGCTGATTTAGTTATGAAAAATGAAACCAATTGTGAATAGGAAGAATAAAACATATCCTTTACAATATTTCTGACTATAACTATAATTTCTTCTGTGGGTGACATGACTACCATCCTGGAACATAATTTAAGTAAGATCTCAGTAGGTTTGGCTGAATGACTGGTGCATGATTCAGTTCTAAGACAACAATAATTCAGACTATATTTAAGAATAAATCTGTACTTAAACTCAGAATGGGTCCTAAGTGAAAACATATAACGTAACTCCAAAAGAAAGTGGTGGGTGGAACAAACAACAAAACCAAGCTGTGTGGAATGCTTTGGTTCAGGAATCTCATCACAATTTCTTGAAGTCCACTCAAGAGCACCCATTTTGAAATGAATTGGTTGCTTTGTGCAATTTCACAGCTCCAAAGCTGCAAAGATGATACATATCTTCCTTTTTTATAATCAATATTCCTGTTTCTTTTTTTTTTATATGTATAATTGACATTTATTTGATGCCACCTGAAGACAGAAAAGAAAGAAATCCATTGACATGGAACCATTCATTTTCAATAGAAACATCTTTATTTCTGAATACTATTGGCTCTTGGGGTGCAAATGTACTTCAAATGCCATTTAAAAAGAGAACCACACAGAGAGAACAGCCTCAATGCACAGAAAAAGTTTGTTGTGCTGCATGCAGATTAGGAACAACAGTTTAGGGTAATTTTTCACAAAGTACTTGCCATTTTTCCACTGACAGGATGATGACAATGATAATGTTTCATTTTTTCTGACCTACAGGATGCAATCCCATACGTCTGGGTTTATTCCAATTCACTTAATGAGAGAAATTCAATTTCTTGGGGAAAGAGGATGGCTGCTTTAGTGGCCAGTGATAGGAGGTCAAGAGAAACCTTATCACCCGCTGAACTAATTTGCAGTCCAGCTAGAAGCTGCAGTGAGAATCCAAGAATTAAATTGACAATCAAAACTCCTGCTTCTCCCTTAAGGACAGGGACATGACTGAGACAATTTGATAGAGCAGGGAGGTAGATTTGCAGAGGAGCATGGTGGCTAATTAGAAATTGCTAGTCTGCAGAATGATCGTTCAGGGAGTTTTTACAGAATTTGCTCTCGCTACTTTTTTAAAGTGCAAGACAATGGATTTAAAATCTGACATTATAAGTGTTTCAGATGAGCAAGACTGCAAGAGTTTATAGCAAATATTTCCAATCATGTAAGACATAACTTTTCTGCTGGCTATTTTATTTATTTATACATGCAAATATAGTGATATATAATGATTTTGTTAGTTGCGAAGTTGTGTCCAACCCATCATGACCCCATGGACAATGTTCCT